GATAGTTTTTGTTTAACATTCCAAGTCACATCCACAAGAAGCTGCCTATTCTGTAACAATTCCGACCACAAAATCCTGGAGGGCAAAGCCTGAAGTGGTGCACAGGAGATGAACTGAAGAAGAAGCTTGGTCCAAACAGTTGGTATGAACAGAATCCCATGGCTATTTGGGGACTGATGTAGGTTTTAAAAAGGTGTTATTGTTGATGGAAGTTTACACCCTTTTGCATTGGTAATATATATACCACACACACATATATAATAGATGTATGACCTATATATAGATCTATACCTGTATCTATATCTAGCTCTATCTCTGTCTCTCCCTGTATCCTAATTATTAAGCCCTGGAACTTGGTAATATGCATTGCACTCTGACATAACATTGCTTCCATTTTTCAAAATGTTGCCATTTCAGCACTATGATATAAACACATCCATTCCCGGACCCAAAATTTTCAAAAGTACAGCTCAACTGTCAGTCCTAGAAAGAGAAAAATATCCCACTTCACATTGTAATCTGCTTGCCTGCCTTAGACTCCTCCTGAAAGGACATTATGCCACTGGCGACGACAGAAATTCTGGGTACTCTGAAGGGTCTACTGACCCCACCATCCTTAAGTCACAAATTTTCATTCAAAAGCAGGTTCCTGAGTCTGTCACTAGAAGTATCTACTCACAGATCTGAGGTGGGGCTAAAGAATCTTTATTACTAAATTTTAAAAAATACATCAGGTGCTGCAAATGCCATGGCCTTTGAGTTACCCTTTGAGAAAACCCGTTTCTAAAATCTCTAACCTGGAAATTAATTTTCTTTCAGGATTGAAAGCTCACTGATTATGCCAGCCAGTAATATCATTTATAGACCTTAAATCCCATTCAAGATCGCCTGTTGCATTTACTCTCGTCTTCTCTCGTCTCTTTCAATCCTCTACAACCTTTACATCCATAACTTTGACATTTTGGTAGAGTACAGGCCAGTTGCTTGAATTTCCCTCAATTTGTGTTTGCCTGATGTTTTCTCATGACATGTATTTAAACATAAGTACTTCTACATCCTTCTCAGTGTATTTTAGGAGGCATCACAAAGTTGATTTGTCTCATTATGTTTTTTTTTAATTTTTATTTATACATTTTTACATCATTGTTCATTTTTGTGCAATGTTTGATTTCTCCTTTCAGGTGCTGTTCCCATAAAATTACCAACACCAAGACACCCATGAACCATCACCATAGACTCTTGTGCTCTTCCCTCCCATTTTGACCTCCCCTCCCCCTCCCCTGATGAATGTCTCTGATTTATAGTTTGCCTGCTAGCTTTGTCTTTTCTTCCCCCTGATCCCTTATTTGGCTCCCCTATATTCCTCCAATAAGTGAAACCTTCTGATATTTTTTTTCCTTCTGACTTATTTCACTGAGCATGATCCCTTCTAGCTCCATCCATGTTGCTGCGAATGGCATAAGTTCATCTTTTTTGACTGCTGAGTAGTATACCATTGTGTATATATACCATATCTTCTTGATCTGTTTTTGGGCATTTAGGTTGTTTCCATAGCTTCACTATTATAAATAGTGCTGCAATGAACATAGGAGCACAGGCTTCCTTTTGAATTAATGTTTTTTTGTCCTTTTGGTAGATTCCTAGCAGGGGAATTCCTGGGTCATATGATAAACCCATTTTTAGTAATTTGAGGGTCCTCCACACAGGTTTCCATATAGTTGGACCAGTTTGCATTCCCACCAGCTCATTACTGGCTTTTATTTATATGAACCCTTACCAGTTAATTAAGATGGTATCTCCGAAGTATGACAGCTTCTTCATCTGTTTGTTGTGTTCTCTTATAAGTGTTCTTTTCCTTTTTTACTCAAAGGGTTACTACCTGTTGCTGTCATTTATTTTGATGCTTAAATTGTCCTAGAGTTGGCCAGTGGGAACTTGTTCAAACTGGTTCCTATAGCCTTTTGACATATCTCTGTAATTCTTCAGTTTTCTTATACAGCAAATTATTCCAGATTCACCCACTACACCACTGAGCCACAGTTCCTTTTACTGAGAATGGTGTTTTAGAAACCGAGGTCTGAGTGTTAGGGGTGTCGATTGCTAATGAGGTGCTATTGCTTTTAGGCTCTTTCAGTGAACAAAGTTAGGAAATAGATCAGCATATACACAGAAATACACAAATACATGTATTTTTCTGTCTATCTAAATTCAAAACCATTTTACACTATCATCACCAATTTCAAGTTACATCAGCGGGTTTTTTTCTAGTCTTTCCTCTTTTTATATGTGTATATTTAGGCAATGAGAAACCTTCCCCAACAGTGAGAAACCTGTCTTCCAATATCCTTGATATATTTATTTATTTTCTTAATGCTCCAGTATATAAACCAGTCTATAAGCCATGCCAGTATGACCTGTCTGTATTGGTATTTTAAAATAATTATATATTTAAAAATTCCATATAATGATATTTGTAATGTAGTTTAATCATATAAAATAATATTTATATAAAATTATGTATATAGTGTATATATATATGCCAGTGCTATACTGTTTTGATTACTATCACTTTATAATAAATTTGAAATCAAAAAAGTGTGATGCCTTCCACTTTGTTCTTTTTCTTTTTTTTTCCTTTTTTAAAAAAGATTTATTTATTTATGCATTCAAGAGCTGGGGTACAGACCAGAGATGCAGGGGGGTGAGAGGATTCACCAGAGACAGTGGGGAGCAGAACAGGCAGACTGACTGAAGTACACTGCTGAGGGGAGCAGCAGGCAAGACAGGAGAGGTCTGCTGCACCATGTGGGCTGCTCCCTGGCCAGCTGGGGAGGGAACTCATGCTGCAGAGGCTGTGGATTGCTGCATAATGTTGTGCTTAACCCCTTGCGCCACCAGAGAGGCCCCTTTCTTCTTTGTCTTGATTGCTTTGGCCATTCAGGTTCTGTGTAGCTCCATATTGAATTTTACGATTTTTTTTCTATTTCTGTAAAAAATGTCACTGGAACTTTGATAAGGATTGCATTGACTCTATAGTTGACTTTGGGTAATTTGGACATATTGACAACAATAATTTTTCCAACCTACGAGCACAGGTTATCTTTCCATTTGTCATTCTCTAATTTCTTTCATGTTTTGTAATTGTCAATGTACGGCTCCTTCAGCTCCTTAGTTATCTTTCCTGTTTTATTATTGTTGATGCTGGAAAGTGTACAGCAAGGCCTTTCTTCAGGTGTACCTGGAACCTTCTACTCCTACTTTCAGGTAGCTGTCCCTTCATGCCTGATCTTCAAGAAGATGCTGGTTTCAGACATGTAGAGCTCCCCAAAGAAAGAGGAATACTTGTAATCACCACCTCTCTCTCAGTAAGTAAACTGCTCTTAGTGCTGCAAATAGTCACCACCAGCTCTATAACCTTGCTGAAGTCAAATGCTGAACGTGGGGAAGGGGAGATTTAAATTTCATCTTCAATAATGAAGTTACTGGGATACCATTGAAATGACATTTTACTCACTAAGTTGGGTTTCATTTCTTTAGGTTGTAGGTTTTCCTCCAAGTTTCACTGGACTCTCTTAGGTGGAATTAGCCCTGGTGTAGTGTCCTCATGAGACAGGAGGCCTAACACAGGGGCTGCTTATTTTATCCATTTGTAGACTTAGCAGAGGGTTTTACGCAGGGCATGTTAATTATTGTTTGTTAGATAAAAAATGAATGCGTCCATCAGTCTACATAAACACCAGGAAAAGAGATATGTGTTGAGGAGACTTAAGTTTCAACCTCTGGACTCACATGAATGAAGACGGTCCAGGTCATTATCCATCCTTAAAGACACCTGGGTATTTTATTTGTTTTTGTTTTTTTTTCCCCATGGAACATAATACAATTCAAAATAATAAAAAAAAAAGGATAACACTGATATTGCACACAAATCCCATAGCTACCACCCAGCCGCAGCAATCTTGTTCTGTTTCCACCTGCAGCTTCCTGAATCGTCAAGCCTCAAATTTCAAAACACCCACATTAAAGAAAGTCGGCAATTTTTTTTTATCCTTTCTCATTTACTGCCTTCACCTCTTCCTTACTCAAGAACATGTGCACCATTATTTTTTCTTGAAAGATTTTTTTTTTTTGGGGGGGTGGTGGTTAGTCCTCCAGATAAGAATAATCATTAAACACTCCCAATACAGCAAGTGGCGTAAATGTTGAATCAGTAAAAACGACGCGGTCAGTAACAACATCCCTGGCTTTCGCGGCGGCTCATTTTAATTTAGAGGGCGCCAGCGACCTGTCAGCAAGAGACTCAAAAGCTACAGGGCAAGCCACTCCGGGCCAGGGATCCCTAGCACGACTCTGACGCCACCCAAGTTTGCAGACGCGGGCAGCCCTCGCCACCGACGGAAGGCGTCTCCGCGCGGCCGAGCCCGTCTGCCAGTTTTCTCGCAGGCGGCCAAAGTGCCTGGAATCTCTAGGTGTTCGCTTCCTCGGGCCAACACCGGCCGCCCCTTCCGCGGCGCCGGGAACAGGTGAGCCCCGCGGCGGCGCCCTCGGGACGCGCTCAGGTGCTGCGGCCCCGCCCCGGCCGCCGGGTCCGGGCCCAGGTGGCGGCGCCCAGGTGCGCGGGGCGCGGGCTGCAGCTCCGCTCGGCCCCCGACAGCGGGCGCCGCTCAGCAGCAGGCGAGCTGTGGAGCCCGGTGGCTCCGCGAGTTGGGGCAGCTCCTCGCGCGCGGCGCGGCGCGGCTCGGCGGCCAGAGCTCCGCCCGGGCGCCGGGGACCCACGGCGGCGGGAGCGGGCGGGAGCCGAGGGGGCGGACCGACCTCGGCGCACCCTCTGCGGGCCTGCGGCGGACCCCGCGGGCCTGCGGCGGGGAGAGGCGGGCGAGGAGGGAGCCCCCCGGAGTGCTGAGAGCCGGGCGGGCCCCGCGCGCGCTGGAGACACCCGAGCGCCCCGCGCCCCGGCACCATGCGACCCGCCGCGCCTCCCCGCCGGCCCCGGGCTTCGCTCTCCACTCGCTGAGCCCCCGCGCTCCGCGCCACGGAAACTCGAAAAGACCAGCGAGGCGTTGGAGAGCCGCGCGCAGACGGACTCACACGTCCTCTGCGCCCCAAGAGGCTGCCGGCCCCCAGGTCCTTGGGTTGCTCTAGCTTTGCCATGAACCTGGAGCAAGCTTGGCTTTAGGAGAAATTCAGAAGCCGAGGGGGAGTCAAGGCAATTCTTTGGTTGCTAAGGTAATTGTAGTTGTGACAAAAATGGGCAAGAAACAAATGGGAAAGATGGCTCAAAATGGTATGCGCCCCCGCTCCCCCAATGCCTGTGTGCTGCTTTCTTCCATCCCTTGGCTGTGATGCTTGTCCATTTTCGATGTGTGACAGGTGTCGGGGTGTGAGTGCGCGCGCGTGTGTGCAGTTTGGGACTGTAGAGGCACGAGCTTACATAAGTGTTGGCATGCTGGCGTGTGCACTTGTGTGGGATGGGTGCAGGTCTGCATATAAATCATGTTTCTGGGTTTCTGGGTGTGGAGCGCTCACCGTTTGGGATAGGCATGCAGAGGGGACAGGCTTCTGGGCACTTGCTGTCGTCTGACTTTGTGATCGCAGGTAGGCAGCTTTACCTCCAAAGCAGACGTTTATTAACTTTTTCTCTGAATAAGCTCGCCCATTCGTGCTTGGTAAGGAAGCAAGCCAGGGGTGAGGAGGTGTGGAGGGCGGGGGCTGTGGGGGAGGTCTGTTCTTTGGGGTCTGCAGCTTGGAAAGGGAGATCAGGTAGGTATTGGTTCTGAGAGGGTTTCCACTAAACCGGTTGAGGGGAGAGAGCGCGTTAACTGTCTCCGTGAGGCTGTGGGAAAAGTGGCCCAGTGAGACTGGGAAAGTGACCCAGAAAATTTAATTTTGCTCAGAATGAAAGAAGCTGTATTTTATTTTATTTAAAAAAATTTGATGGAGTAGGGACGTTATTTCTTTCTTGTTGAGAGGAGTGGCATCTCTATGCTACAGAGTGAAGATATTTTGGGTCTTATTGGCTTGGAATTGTTCCCTCAGCATTTATCAATACTTACAAGCTGGATCTGCAGGTAGTTTCTAATCAATACCTTTTAGCAACCCTGAAGTCAAACTGCAAAAATAAGCAGCGTTAGGTAAAAATCTAACACTGGACCCCTTTCTCCTCAGCGGGGGAGAGATGGAAGAATAAGAATTGGACTTTTACCTGTGTGAATGGAAGTAACTACCAGGCTGCACGTTTGTGCGTGATCTGTCAAAAAGTGTAGATTAAAAGGAAACTGCTAGGTTTGGCGTCCTGTGTCAATGACGAGGCTGCCACAGATCCGTTTTCACAGGCAGATGGGGCATTGCATGAATTGGCAACTGGGGGTTGGTGAGAAACTTTCTGAGTTGTGTGTTTTTTTATTCTTGATCTTCTTATTGATGTACTAATTTTGCAATATGTGGGACTACCCTGTGAAAGAAAGTAGGTAGAAGATTGAGGGAAACTTCAGACTCTTCAGAGATACACCTTTGCAAGCAAAAGCTTGCATGCTGAATAGCAAAAGCCAAGATGATAAATTCTTTGAGTTGTCTGACACCATTGTCAGCTAGGTTGTGTAAATATGGTGATTCCATATTTACCATCTCATACCCAAATGTCAGGGTATGCCATATGTATTAGAACTATTTGTACTATATGTGATATATGCAGCATATATAATATATATGACATAATATACCACTTACATGTTTTATATATATATATATATATATATATATATACACACACTCTACATAGTTTCCCAATAACTCATCTTCTCCTGAAAGTGCCTAAAATTCTAGAAGCATCAGTTATTGTGAGGCATTTGGACGAAGTAGGTAATCATGGGTATTTCTTTTTTTATATTCATTGCATTGATTCTTAACTTTACTTCCCTGTCTCCTTTAAGAAACTAATTAACATTCATGGAATTTGCATTGCTGAGAGTTTCAGTAAAATAATGCTAGTGTTTCTTCAAAGCAATACATTTGTTTTATCCAAATGAAATGTTACAAGAATGCATTTATGGTAGTAATGCCTCTTTAAATGAGACAGTCTTTTTTATTTATTCATTTATTTAGTTATTTTTGTTAAGTAAGCAACCATTTCTTGGGGAAGAAAAAATAATTTTAAGGAATAATTAGGACAATGAAATTTGCCAATAATTTTGGATTTCTTAATGTCCCCAGATATAGAATTTTATGGTAAAGTAGGATCATTCTGTTTCTTCTTTCTTTGATATTCTCTCATGCATTTTATCTCTTGAACTCCTAAGACTTTGCCAGGAATTGCTGAACATTCTGTTTCGAGCCAGGGGTTAAACATCAGGGAGATATGAGTAAGGAGTGATGTGTCACATGAACCCTTTTCAAAAGGGATGCTCTCAGTGATCTCAATACTGGGATTAATTTTTCCTTTAACTTCACAGTTAGTTTGTCTTAATTCATAGCGCTTTGAACCCAAGGAAGCATTTAACCTCCTCATTTTCAGTGCCAGCTGAATTTATTTACTGATTTTCATCTTCATTGTAACATATGGCATGATATAAATAATTACTACACACACACTGTCCCGCTGTATGGAAGGAAATCGAATTGGAAAATAAACCTTCATGTTGAGTGATGTGGATGTAACATTGCAAAAAACAGTCCTACTTTTTTTAAGTACAAAAAGTTAGCTAATCATTGGGGAAAATTCAGGAAATGCACAATAAAAATAATCATTTGTAATTCACCCATGGAAAGTGACCCGCTGTTGCATTTCTGTATACTGTATATCCTTCCAGAGTTTCTTATTTGGATTACTTGTCTTTCCCTTCCCACTCTCCAATTTTCAAATCTTATAGATGAAACTTGACTGCGTGTTAAGGATTTGAGTTACTGTTAGTTTACTGGATGGTTTTGATAGATTTTAAATTTTTAAAGAGAATAGTTTCTCTTTTTTTTTCCTGTTTGGTTTTTAAAAAAAATCCCCTGAAAACCAAGGTTTGTACTTTGGGTCAGTAATACTTGGGACTCCTCATAAGATTTAGGGATTAAAGCATCAGAAAAGAAATGGAAAGACTTTGGTTGTAGTTCTAATTGGAGTTCTAGTTTCAGTTCCTCCACCAACTCTTCATGTGACCTTTGGCGTCTGGGTTTCTACGTCTTCTAAGGACACTTTTAGAGCTAGCTCAGTCAGCTAACCTAGCTGTTGTTTTAACATCAGGTGGGGCTTTTATTGAAGCAATCTTTTTCAAACACAGACAGTTGGGTGTCTTGCCCAGAGTTTCTGATTTAGTAGGTGAAGTGCCAGCAAGGCACAGAACAGGTTTTCTATGATCCAGGCAGATGGGTAAAGGAGGATTCCTGGAGCCCTCAGTGGCTTTTTCAGGTTTTTAATGATCTTTCTACACCATTTGTAAAGAGGCAACCATTTTCGGGGCAGGCAGGGGATGCGGGTGGGGGGGGGGTGAGGCCGGAAGGCCTCCTAGCCCCGGGCGGATCTTTACTCCTTCTGGGCTCTCTGCCATTTTCTTGTCCACCGCGTCCTCTGCTGCCAAGCTCCTCTGCTCTCTGCACGATGCCCTTATATGCCCAGCCTTCAGGCTCAGGTGTGCCCACATTATATTCCAGGTGTCCACCATCAGGCTTGCGTGTAAGGCCACAGGTGTCGATCATTGATGCCAGTGGCTGGAGGATGGAAAAAAACCTGATCGCCTCCACTTGCCCTACAGTAGGTTTGGGATGGAACTTGAGAACTTGCATTTCTAACAAGCCCAGATAATAATGACTCTGCTGATCTGGGATCCATACTGAAAGCTAGATGATAAACTTCTGGGGTGCAAAAAAACCCTTTTCACTTTTCTCTAAATCCATCTACCCAACCATGTAGCTGATAGGCTAGTGGGATCATTAAACACTGGTTAAATTAATATTAGTTTTCTACATGGGGGAAAATCTTTCTGAAATTGTCAAGATAGAAGAGATAATCATCTCGAACCTGGAATGATTATGTCTATAATAAGACTAATAATCAGTCATGAAACCCAGTTCTTCAAACTCCAAGGAAAGCAAAAATGCTTCCAAGTAGGTAGTTAACATGAACATTAAACCTAATGAGTTATATAAATAACAACCCAGTAAGTATACCTGCTTGAGATGTTACAAACCACGAAGCTGATCAAATGCCTCACTCTTGTCTCCCTGAGACCTTTAATAGGCAATTCATTTCTACCACATACCTGTTCCAAAAAGGGGGAAGAGGAAATTCATCATTAATTACCCCAACCACCAAAGGAGCAGGTAAAGCAAGCAATGGCCCAGACCTCCCCCACCCCTGACCCTCAAAGGCAGAATAGCGCTCATTAGAGCACACAGCCATTATGAGATGGGTCCCAATTTATGATGGAAGAAATGAAGAGAAACAGATTAATCTGTGCAAACCCACAAGACAAATCTATGGAAGCTCCAGAAATCTGGTCCAGGGCTGCCTGACACCAGAGGGTGTTTGTCACCATTCCCTCTACTGCCCCTGAGAGAATGCATTTGATAGTAGCAGATTCACCCCAGGCTGAAATAGCCCCCATGTAGGGTAAGTAAAGTATCAGGCTTTTCTGCCCTCGGGGCATTAGGATTGATGATGGATTTTTGTGATCCTGAATGCATGCCTGATGGTGGTCACCTGGAGTAGGGTGTGGGCATGCACAAGGGGGTACACCTGGGCTGACAGACTGCACTTATAAGGGCAGCGTCACGGGGGCGCCAGCAGAACCACAAGGAAGAGCAGAGAGAGAGAGAACTCCAGGGAGCCCAGAGTGGAGACTAGCCTCCCGGCCCCCTGGCGCCTCTGCCTGCTATGTACCCAGTAAAATCCCAATAAAAGCCTGAAAAGCCAGTGAGGGCTCCAGGACTTCACCTGTCTGTTTGGGTCATAGAGATCCTGCTCCGTGTCCTCCTGCCGTTACACCCCACTTTTTGGAAGTTTCAGTTATATCACTTGGCATTTACAATAGGTCCACCTCAGTACCAGTTTTTCCCTAGCTGAAAGAGATTTGAAGGGGATTTTGGCTTTTACCAAAGAAATCAAAGGAACACATAGCATTGAGCGTGAAGTTTGCAACAGCCAGCCACTCTAGAAGCAGTGGCACCTCTTGTAGAGAAAGTGGCCTCACCAAGCTCCTTCCCCTGGAACGTACGTAATCAGCTTGAGTATTATTCATGTCATT